GATAAGATAAGGAGATAAGATAGGCAGGCCCTCTAGGGTCAGAACAGTTGTGGGAAAGAAAAAGTCTTCTGAAAATTAAATGTATCATTAATTCATTCCTCTAAATGTTACAATTATAACAGAGAAATTGAGTTATAATTGTTTAGCAAGCACCCAAATTTCAATTTGACCTGTGCAGACAGCAAAGCTGGTTTATCGCGAACCCACAGCAATCAAATTATAACTCTTACCAACACAAAGGCTTTCGCACATTAAGTGCCGCCATGCTTGACAGAGTAAGCAAGAGGTACATTAAAGAATGCAATAGATTTAATTTCATAATATTACATTCGATTTCAACTGTTCTGATTTGATCGGCGACTTTCCGGTGTATGATAGAACAATCCTTCCGGAGACATAGCCCCTGGTCCCGGTGACTTTTGGCAGCCAAATACAACTATAAATGTAGCCCATGCGCTTCGTCTCCAGGTGGTTCGCTATCACTCTGTCCGAGACCTTCAGCTATCACCACCTCCGCAACCATGGACTTCGAGTTGACGCTTTTCCTCTGGCTAGAGGGTTTCTTTCCAAAACAAGTGGTTTACTATCTCCTGATCAAGGGCCTCGCTGACTCCCCCGCCCAACTGTACGAGGGCAAGACCAACGACCCAAAACTACGAATCAATGTCCTTGCTTTCAACGGTACCAAGATAGACGATATCAATTCTGACGACCCAAAGCCTGTCGGCAAAAGCACTCCTTGCCTGCGGATTGTTGATACGACAGGCAAGACACCACCACGCTGGGTCCATGAGAGCACTTCCATTCGCGCATTCTTGGAGGAAATTTACCCAGATAAACCGTCCATGATCAGCCCCACGCCTTTCGGGCGCGCACTTACAAGTGATATATACTCGACAGTTCTTCAGGCATTCAACGACTGCAATCACTATATAAAGAATGCAGCATCGGTAACGACCATCTGGTCTGGGCTGAAGGATGAGGACCGAAGCCTTGCAGTAGCAAGGCACGCGAGGAGCGGCATGGTTCGGTCTTTGCTCAAGACTCAAGAGTGGGCAGCAGAGAGCCTCGAGGCAGGAGGATGGCTTACACAGGGACTGGGCTACCCTGGATTGGCTGATGTAGCTCTTGCAGGAGGAGTACGCTATATGGAACTGAGCTATTCACTGCAAATTTTGGAAGATGAGCGACTCAGCTTATTGAGAAGTTGGTATGCTAGGTTCCAGCAGCTTGCCTGGTGGAAAGAGCTGGAGGAGGCTGGGAGACATCCCAAGGCCTTGGTATATCCCAGTGATTGTCGGGAAGTCTGAACCACCTTAGAATAGACGAAAGGTTTGACATATCCTACTGTTTCCTTGAATAGCCACCATTGTATGTCATCTTGAGAGTTTCCTTAGAAGTAGTGTGCTTGACAGCCTCTTGACAATTTTCAGTTGTTGTTAAATACCAAAACCATTGTTCCAAAGACCGGTAAGTTCGTTTATCCACCTCATCGGTGGTTATTTAATTGGGTTAATTTCCACTGTACGACTTGATGACTGAC